GAGCGTAGACTTTAGAGGTTGTAAATTTAACTGGAGTTTCAGGGATGTTGGACATGAACATTTTGTTCTCAGGAGAGTTTTATTTTCTCTTTACACTCCATCCTTTGAATTATTCCTTATTATATTCCAAATTCAATTATCAAAACATGTATTTAGGTAATAGGTCAATTAAGTTCTATGGTGCATCAAGTTATAATATGTTTAATTGTTTTATTTTCTTAAGTCTCTAAATTTTCTATACATGATCTGGTATGTGTGAGGGACTGTGTGTGTCCACCAGAGAGATGAGATGAATGACACAGCTTGGCCTTTCTTGTACTAAAATGTAAGAGTGGCACTTTCACGCTTGTCAACAATCTCTAAATATACCCATGGACCGGGAACACACACACACACACACACATTCAGACAGGTCTGTGATTTTGACTGTTTTTCTCTCTGTCTCCATTAGAAAAAAGAGAAACTTCAGCTGTTTTGCTTCCCGACAGTCTCAGTAGTCACACAGACGTGTGCATACACACACCAGTCACAGTCGACAAGACATTTTTATAACAAAAATTGGATTCCTCTTCGTTCCTCTCTAAAACTCAGCAGACACACTGGAAAACTTGATCTGACAAGTATCGGTGCCGTGTTGGAAAAGCAAAACCGTTGGTTACACACTCAAAGCAGCCATGCGAGAACAATATTTATTCCGACCAGTCAACAAAAAGGAGGGCTTCGATAAGACGGACCCGCTTTGTCACCAGTGTAGTTATTTGGATCCCATTTTCCCTTTCACTTTTCTGACCCTGACACTCCGAGATGCTTATGGTTCTTCCCAGCAATTCTCTATCAAAGAAGGAATCCACTGTAACATCTGGAAGACAACACAGCGAGGATGATGCAACATTTTATCCTACTTTACATAGGCACATTATTTGGAAACCATCACCATTCTCATCATTGGAGGCCTAAAGTAATATTTTGCATCCATAACGACACCATCAATATGTCTTCAACCCCTGAAATTCTGTTTCTAAAGTCTTCAACAAGTCCATAACATTCTGTCATTATTTTTAAAGAACAATAATAATGTTTATGACCACATTTAACAATTGTTTCACATAGAATCTATGACTTCTCCTGCAGCCCCCCTCTCAGTATAGCTCATATTTCCTGAGTGAAATTCCCCGTCAGAATGATGTTAAAGCACATTGTTGTTGACACCGCAATTTCGCAGACCCGTATAACATTGTCAGTTAAAGTACAGATTTGACGTGAAAAGCCCTCCTCGCTGTTTGTATTTAATATCGCGCCGACAGCTGTATCATTCTTGCACACTGTAATCAAATTATGACAGCGTGGTAAGTGTTCCCCTGTGACATTTTCTATTATAAAATGCATATACCCGGTGTCAGACAATGTGTGGGTGGTATCCCTCAGTGGCAAATGGGATTGTAAGTGGCACCGAGTGACATTATGCGTGTGTGCGTTAGATGTAATTGCGCTTGTATATTGATGATATGCATAGGTGTATGTCATCTGGAATTATGATTGTTGTTTTAGAGAGAAGGTGAAAAACATCACTGTCTTTAAGCAGCTTCATGACACTTCTATTAGTGTGATATTACAAGTACAGTTAGAATTTATTGTAAATCACACATATAAGAATAATTCTTTTTACATGTGAAAGCATCCACACAAAAGTTAGATGTGGAGATGCAGTTGAAGGGCTCTTTGGTATTGGTTTCTGGAGGCATCATCACATACACATGTCGATATGTGTATTATTATGTGTGTGTGTTTTCACTCACACAAGACCACCAGGCCAGACAGCAGCCAGCTTGTGTCAAACGCCCAGGGTGATGAGATTTGTACCCTTTGCTCTGATATCACACCCTCTTCTCTCCTCGCCTTTCCTCATCTCCTCATCCCTTCTCATTTCCTCGTCTCTCAGTTCCTCTTGTTTCTTCTCCACTCTTGTTTCCTTTCCTAACCTTTCCTTTTTCTTATCCTCTCCTATTCACTCCTCTCCTCTTGTTTCATTTTCTCTTCTCTCCTTCTTTCCTCCCCTCTCCTCCTCTTCTCACCTGTCTTGTTTCCTCACCTCATTTTCCCTCTTGCCTCTCCTCTTCTCTTCTTGTTTTCTTCATTCCCTTCCACTTGTCTCTTGTTTCATCTCCTATACTCTCCATGTTTAGTAGCCTCTCTTTTACTGGTGTTTCACCTCCTCTCCTCCTTTCGTGTCTCCTCTCCTCTCCTAGTTTCCTAACCTCTCCTCTCCTCCTGTATCCTTTGCTTTCCTTTTGTTTTCTCTCTTCTCCTGTTGTGGCCTGCAAGGGAATATCCAGTGTCCTCTTATTGGATTGGCTGCTTCACTTTGGCGGCCCTTCACTCGCCGCCCCTCGGCCTGCTGGGTAATGATAATAAAATTGAAATATCCCGGTACTTATCAGTGTATTACCTCGCTATCAACACCTCAGACACACTCCTACTTTAGAGGTTATACAGGAGAAAGTGTGATCTGATATACAGCGCGAACAGAGAGAGGACACCAGCAGGCAAAGTGAGAAAGACAGACAGAGAGAGAGAGAGGAGGAGAGGGAGTAAACAGATAGACAGAGAAAGGGATGGGGAGAAAGAAAGACAGGAGTTTTGTCATGGCTACATTTTCAAGGTGCTATTTCCAGGATGGATTGCGGTAGGTAGGCAAGAGAGGGTGAAAAGAGGAGGTGGTGGTGGAGGAGGAAGAGAGGCGTGTAATGTGACTCTGTGGCATCTGTCCAGACCAGAGGCGTGTTAGCGTAAGCCGTTCTCAACACTCCACTCTAGTCTACTGTACATTTGCGGTAATGTAAAACATCTCTCATCTCCCCATCTCTCTCTCTGTCTCTGGGCCCTCCTCTCTCCTTTCTCTTGGCAGTTGGTGTGTGTGCGTCTTTGTGTGTGTGTGGGAGGTGGGGGAGCGTGCCAAAGCCGAGATCAGGTTTGGAAATTGATTTGAATGAGTGTTGTGGACAGCTGATAGCTATAAAAGATTTTCTCCTTTCATTTCCCAGGGAGTTTCTCCTTTGATGTTGGCTGGTAGTCAACGCAGCTTTGAAGCTCGTCTAGAGCGGTCTGTGCCGCTACTTGATACTGTGTGAGTTTGTATCTGTTGTGTGTTTATGTATGTGTACACATGACTTCATGTTTGACCTTTTCAAGTCACATTTGGCGGTGAGTTTTGATGGCAGCGGTGAATTTTGTGATAAAATGACCGGTAATAATGCTTTTTCATTGTACAAAATGGCATTTAATAAAATCAGCTGAAATTACGCATGATAACCTATTTGCATGTCAGCTGATCTGATTTTCTTTAATCCAGGGTGATGAATACCATCCTATAATCACTTATGTACAACAAGCACATCTTTACCTACTCTTAATCTTAACATATTGGGCGCCACACATGCCAGCCACCTTCAAATTGCCCTTTGGGGATAAAAATCTCTGAAATGTTATTTTGTCGTTTCATCGACTGCCTCTCTGCGTTCCTCCGATCAGCCAATCGCACGCTCCAATCTAATCCCCTGGAGGGAAGAATCTAGTCTGTTGCCACGGATGCCGGGGGGGGTCGTGAGGTCAAGTACAGCTAATTTATTCACTCAGTCAGATTTCCTCTGGCTCGTGGATGGCAGATGGAGAGGTCTGATATGATATCACCCATCTGAATCACCCAAGGGAGAAGAGAGCAGGAGGGACGAGGGACGAGGGAGGGAGGGAGAGATGGAGGGATGAGAGGAGAAGAGATTGACAGGAGAGATGTAAAAAGAAAGGGAGGGCAGATAGTAAAAATTGGGGAATTAAAAGTGGTTGATAGAGAGATAGGAGAGAGGGTAGCATTGCCTGCAAGAGTGTGGAGTGTGTTCGCCCCACCGAGTTGGGTGTCAAGCTGAACATTGAGCCACATAGCCTCTTATCAGATGTGTGTGTGGGTGAAATGTGTGTATGTGTGTGTGTCCTTATCTTAAGACAAGTGGTTCTGGTCCAATAAGATCCTGGGAGATGGTAGGAATAAGCGGCTTAGACCAAGATCTAAGATGGAGGGGGGGGGGAAGGAGAGATAGTGGTAGGGAGATGAGAGAAGGAGATGAGGATGGAGAGGAGAGGAAGAGGAGGAGGAGATGGACAGATTAGGAGGATGGAGGACGAGGAGGGGACATTTGGAAAGAGATGAAACGTGGAGGGCTGTAGAGATCGGAATGGAAAGATGTGATGTGGAAACAGTTTGGAGAAGTTTTTTTTAAAGAGCAGAAGGAAAAGGGAGGGGAAAGAAGGGAGAAGTTTGGGGTTTGAAATAGTTCTTGGCTTTTTGTCAAAGGGCAGGGATTTACAGGATTTCATCAACAGTGTCAACTTGAGGACACTTTTTCCCGAGAGGTTTCGAATTTGTGGCTTCACAACAGTGTCCGCTTAAGAACACTCTGCCCCCAGGGGTTTTGACTTCAAGCCTTGGCTTCAAGTGGCTCCTTTATTAAAAATTTTCCACTCAGCTCCCAGCCTTTCCACTACATACCGATTGAGGGCAAGACATTGATCTTTGTCAGTTGAAAAAGCAACACGCCTCTTGTCTCTGAAAGTACCTATCATTAAGAAAAGATGAGGAGGTCCAAGATAAATGTGAAAGGGCGAAGTGATTTAAATATTTATTATGGATATTAAAATTTTAAGCACTTTCGTCTGCACAGATACAATTTCAGGTCTGTCCAAAATAAAAGAAATCTCAAGGAATTTGTGAAGTGAAAATCTGTCAAAGGGCAGGTCTCGTAAATGCTCTGGACTTGTATAACGCCTTTCTAGTCTTTTCGACCATTCAGTCACATTTATACACTGAGCTTAAGTGCTCAAACAGAAACTAACATTCACACACATTCATACACTGGCGGAACAGCCAGCATGTGATTGGTGATATTAAACTAAACAAATAGCGCTCCATAATGATTTGAACTTAATGCTTGTGTTTTGTATCCCATCAGTTTGGCGACCACATGAAGATGAGAAACCAGCTTTGACGACCTACGGATGTCCACCTTCCCCGGACCATTCGGCTTCGGCAACACATCCAACACACTCTTCAAGAGGGAGGTTTTTACAGCTTATTACCCAGGAGGAAAAACTTTATCTTGACCATTTCTTGTATTTATCATTTGGACTGAAGTGGTCCAAACTGTGAAGCCTGTTAAGGACAGAACACCAAACGGCACTTACTTGGCAAAGAATGATCTGGACTGTGATGATCTGATTTCAAGTGAATTTGGCTGGAAACAGATCTCACTTTAGTTCCACTGAAGAGAAATGAACTGCATTCAAGCTAAACTGAACTGACATTGACTGACACTTTCTTCAAGAATCCTCACCTTCCATACAAACGGCTCTTTTCTGAGCCCCTTCCCTCAAAACGCCCAATTCTTTAAGTCTCCAAACTAAATTCCCTCAATTCCTCAGACCCTTTCCAAGGGTCTCCGACATTGTCTCACATCTTATTGAGGAGGAATCATCTCCTCCTCCTCCTAAAATCCTTACGACCTCTCTCTTCTGTCCAAACATGGACCTCCATAGGGCAGCATTCAAGATGGAGAGCTCCTCCTACCTGCCCAATCCCCTAGCCTCCCCAGCTCTCATGGTCCTGGCCTCTACTGCTGAAGCCTCTCGAGATGCCTCGATTCCCTGCCAGCAGCCACGTCCATTTGGCGTCCCAGTCTCTGTCGAGAAAGATGTCCATTTGCCATTTAACAATGGTTCTTACACTTTTGCATCAATGTACCATCGTCAAGGTGCAGTCCCACCAGGATTCCCTAACAGGGATTTTCCTCCATCCCTCCTTCACCTCCATCATCAGTTTGCCCCACCTAACCTGGACTGCTCGCCAATCAGCATGCTAAATCACAGTGGCGTCGGCGCCTTCAGGCCTTTTGCCTCACCACCGGAAGATCGCGACGGGGCGCCTGGTGGTTATCAGTCTGCTTTCACCCCAGCCAAGCGCCTCAAAGGCTGCCTGGATGCAGAGGCTTCACCTCACCTGCGGTACTCTGATGCAGAGGGGAAAGAGTATGACTTTGGTGGTTCCCAGATCCCTCCTGGAGGCTCGCCGAGCAGCGCCTTGAAAGCAGTGGAGGACAGTGGGAAAAAGATCTTCGCTGTGTCAGGCCTCCTGTCTGATCGAGAGACTTCCTCCAGCCCTGAGGACCGCATTGAGCGCTGTAAGTAGCAATTTATAGCTGTTCTATATTGCACTCAAATTATAGTAACAACCATGAATAAATTAGTGGAAACAAAACAGTACAGGGCAGAAGGGGTCACTAAATGGTTTGATAAGTGTGACAATGATGTGAATCGTATGCTATGGTCTGTACAGTCACTAGATCTCAACTCAGTTGAACACCTATGACAGATTTTGGGTCAACATGTTAGACTGTGCTCTCCATCAACTTTATTAAAACACAAAATATAAGAATATCTTTTAGAAGAATGGCGTTCATCCCTTCCCATTGTGGTGGAAAAACACCTTAATAAATAACTTTTCTTATATACATAATTTTCACCCATCTGTATGTAAAACATATTAAGAAAACTTTTTTGTGTAATGTGCTTACGAAACAATACATAAAAAATCGAACCACATGGACTTACACATTATTGTTCTGAAAGTCTCCTCCAGCGTAATCACAAATCAGCCCCAATATGCTCTTGCTATGGAATGCTATGGAAGTATGTTTTACAATATTTTGGTGTGGTAAAATGAAAGAACACTGAACATCACATAAACAGTTTCCATTATGCATTTTATTTCAGCTTATTAGAAATGGTGACACTGATGTATGGTCTTTAAAACATATACACACCTCTAAAATCTCAACGTGTGGAGGATTTTTTCACACTGCCACATTTCCAATACCGATCCCACATTTTAGAAAAACTGTTATGACAACTTAAACCACCATATTCTAGGATTATTCTACAGACAACTGTAATAATTAAACCTGCAAACAAGACACATGCACAAACCTATACAGCACAAGACACATAAACACGCACAGCCAAATCTAAATCTTGCCCTCAAATTAAAACCAAAGTACAACTTGCTGCAATTTGTAAAAGAATGCAAATTTTTACACACTAGCATCACACACGCCAATAAACAATCCCATCTATGTTCTCTTGTCATCATCTCTCCTGGCACTCCCTATCCTTGTTTCACAAGCCCACAAGCTCCACTGGTCACATTAGCATTCACCAGTGGAAGGCTGCCATTTGGCCCTCACGCACTGGAAATCTGATTAGTGTTGTGTGTATGTGTGTGTGTGTGTGTGTGTGTGTGTGTGTGTGTGAGTGACTGGTTCAGAGAACGGCCATGCTCTTTGCCATCAGCATTCATCATAGCTCCACGCTGGCAGCCCTGATGCCAAAAGATTTACCCACATACCCAAAACCTTGGCAGTCCATGTGTGTGTCTGTAATAAAAGGGAGGTGGGAGAGGGGTTGTGAGAGCTCCAAGCACAAACACACAAGCTTCCACAAACACTCTTCCAAGCATACAGCTCTCAGCATGAGCACCGACATCTCCTACACATGTCAACAAGCTGCATCGGATCTCAGTGACAAATTAGGAGACAGACAGACAGACAGAAATGTGTTTATAGTCTTTAATTTAACTAAAAGAGAAAGTCTTTCTCTATCATTTTTTTTTTTTTAGCATTTTGTCTTTCCTTTCATAAAATACATTTGTTCTGTCCATTATTTCTTTCATTCCTCCTCCACCTCTTGTGGAAGGAGAGCTTGTGTGTGTGTGTGTGTGTTTGTGTGTGTGTGTGTGTGTTTGAGGGATGCATCCTTGATGGAACACATGAGAGACAGAGGCGACGACCTGAGACTGATCCGATAAAAAGACCACCACAGGAGAGACAGAGAGGGTGAGAAAGAGAGGGATGAAGGAAGGGATGGAGAGAAGGAAATTGGGAAAATGACACCCGGTGGCTGGCTGGGGAGGAATGAGAAGGAAGAGAAAGATATCAAAGAGCACATTCAGTGAGAATGGGAAAGGGACAAGAACAAAGAGAGGAGAGAAAGAAAGAAATGACAACTCTACCATGGAATTGGAACCCATTGATTTAAAACCTTTTTGAAAAGCATTTGAAATCCACATTTTCAGTCTGTGGTGGCTTTGAACCAACTGGAGTACTTGCAAAGTGCCTTGCTCAAAAGACCTGTGGTCACTGTCATATGTGCCATGTTATCACTACAGATTTGTAAGCACTTAGGCTGCAGACAGAAATAGAACAGGAGATGGGTACAGGGCTCCTGTGCTGTCTTTTGGAACGGCTGAATCTGTATCTAATCAGGTTAAATCTTGGCACAAGTAGCCTCTACCTCTACCATAGGCTTCTAATGCAATTGGATGTGCAGAGGCACTGCCTACAGCAAAGTATTATGGGTTCTCCTTCACTGGTTTTGGCGATCCAGTGGAGGCGTAAAGAACAAACAACACTTTGGTACAATCCCATGAGAACAGTGCTCTCGCTGCTTCACACACACACATTAGCTAACTAGCAGCCTTCGTGCTGCTTCACACATACCTCTTGAAAATCTCAGTGAAAAGAGCTTTATAATGCTTGGAATAATACTGTGTCATCAGAGATCCAAGTACAAAACAATGTAATATTGAGTCTGGAAATGTATATGATGGCAAATAATTAAAACTACTAGATTAAGTTTCAAAGGTTTCCAAAACTTAAATTCTAGCTATGTTACTACTACATGGACTTTGATTAGAATTTAGTGTTCAGAAATTTTCAGGCAACCCGCATCCACAAAACCTTTGTGTCTAACCAAAAATGTATGTCCGCATGGACTGAATAACACAATACACACATGCTAGTCCAGTATCCTTTGGAATTTTCTCTATATTGGATGATTCCGCACATCAATTTATATCCAAAGCCAAAGTTTAGTGCCAATACTAGGATCATTGTGTAACGCAACGCAGCATGTCAGACTTTCAAGCAGGGTGCCAGACTCCACATTCAGTCACAGACCAGCAATTAATGTACACAGTTTTATTAACAGTAACCACAATAATTCCCCAACCTAACACATAAGGTAGTTATTCATATCGCAGATATTGCAGAAAGTTTTTTGAAATAGTTTTGTGGACATAAACATGTTGCGATTCATTGTAATCTTGGATTTTGCAGAATCATCCAATATTGAGGTTCTTGTCCTGAGATAGTGTCGTCTGTTAAAATACCCAAATTAGTATAAACAGAACCAGTAACACAAAAACTGTGTATTTAGTAATAAAAAACAAAACAAAACTTCACTATAGATGGCTATCAATGACCAAATCTTTAAATGTGATGCAAGTTATCCACCCCTCCTTTATATCTGTCTTGCATTCACCCATTTACATCTTGATTATATGTGTCTAAATACTATCCCATTACAATCCAATCATCTGTCATGCTAATTAAACCAAGGTGTGATGGTGGTTCTTTCTTCTTTGCTTCACACTGAACCAAAAATTATGTTAACATAACTTGAAAAAACTACATCCTCAACTTCCCTGCATGCGATTCCCTTGAGCCTGCCGCATGCCACTCCAAGCAACGGTAGCCTACTCTGTGCTAAGCCCTCCCAAATCCCCCCACTGCACCGTCAGGCACGGTGGCTGTTAACTAAACCCGCTAACCTGTCATCCGCTAAACCTGCACATAAAGGCCCCATCATGCCTTAAGAGGACTAGGCATGTCATATTATTGTAAAAGCTATTACAATTTACTGTATTCACATTGTGAGCTTTTAGCATGAGAATGAAGGGGTACAAAGCAGAGCATATACAGTAAAAGAGAGGATGGAATTATGGGATGTGTGACTAGAATTAATGGGGATATTGACAAATAAAACAATGTGCCCCGCAGTGCAGTTGTATGTTTGTGGAAGAGATTTGATGTTTTTGCGCAACATGTCAATGTGAAGGTTTGTGCGTGTGTTTGTGCCTCAGTATCCAGCATGCTCCATCGTCTTTGTTTTCCTCTGCCTCTTACTTATCTATTTTTCTCTCCTACAATCTCTCCATAATTTTTCTTTTCCTCCCCCCTTCTCTTTGTATGTATGTGCATCTCCCCATTTGAGTGTGTGACAGCTGTAGTCTGTTTGTTTACATTCTCTCCGCCCTCCACATTTACAAGGCTGGGAGATTTACACTGAACCTGACCCCGAATGCCTAACCCAGCTTCCTCATCTTTCTGCTTCCTTTCTTTTTCTTTCTTCTTTTCACTTGTCAATGGAAATTTTCTGCACACACAATGAAGATAGACAGTAAATACAAGAATATGGGACTGAAAAAGTCAACAAGAAGACAAATGTGCTACTGAAAAAAGGAACCGAAATGGCTGGCGGGGAAAGAAAGAAAACAAATTCTTTTAGCACAGATTGAGGGGAAGGAACGCATGAGGGAGGAAGGGGGGTGAGATACAAGAAAAGATAAAAGCAATAAGAAAAAAATGGTTGTGGGAAGGAAGGAGAGAGAGAAAGAGGGAGGATGATGAGATGCTGAGCTAAAATGCAGATCCCATATGCCTGACAGAAATAAAAGCAGAGGGATTCCTAAGACAGCACTCGATAGACAGGTAGAATTGTGTAGTATTCACATGTATTGTCCTTGTTTTGGAATTGTTTTACTCAAATAACTTTGATGCACTTGTAGAAAGTGCTTCCTGACCTAAACTGATGGTGTCTTCTTGAAGAACAGTCAGAATCCAAGATATTGGAGCTCAAAACTTGCCTGCTTCCTATTTCTCATTTTAACGTTTAACAGAGTGCATCACACACAGCTGTTAAAACACACAGCGAGAGGCCTCCTCTTCATCCTCCTCCTCGTCTCTCTTCTTTTCTTTTTTTGGTGTTGCCTCTTTTTCTTTGTTTATTTTCATCTTTTTGTCCCCCTGTTCAGCAGAGCAAATGTCATGTGTGTTGTTTCTTTCTGGGGCCAAGTAGAGCAAATAGTTGTAGCTATAAAAAAATGTCACAGTGGAGAAAAATAAACTGGGGGAAAAAGAGAGTTATCACAAAGGGAAGATGGATGATAATGATACTGATGTTGATAGATGACAAACAGATTTTTCTTTGAATTTTGTTTCCATCTTTAGTGCTAAGCAGTCATTACTGTGGGATTTCTGCACTGCCCTCCACAGACCACCTGTCA